CAGCCCCGCCCCCCCTGCCTTGAGCAAGCCCTGGCAGCAACCCACCTGCCCATTGGTGGGCCATTGGGCCCCAAGCCAATCGCTGTATTGAAGAGGGGCTTCCATATGCTTCCAGCAATGGCGGGGAATCCGCTTCTCCCCGCACTGCCAAGTTCTGTGTAGCCCCAGGGAGAGGCATTGGTCTAATCTTTTCCATGTAGTCCATGGTCTCTCATCTTTTACCTTAAACTTTTCTCCAGGAGAAGATTTTATCCTATGGAGAGTTTGGTTACGGTAGCTCTTAGAGTTATTAGAGCACAAACATTCTCCTTTACATATTAGATAACAGAAAATGAAGTTTCCTAGGTACATGTAATTGTGCGTATTGCATGTAGAAAGTGGATCTTTTCCATACACTGTACTAGTGGAGTGTTCTCCTGCGAGTGGGTGCCCGTCTTTATGAATTGCAGTAATTGAGGTCATAATGTCCATCTAATCCATAATGCTATTTTCACTTGATAGATATAATTTTGTAGATTGAGAAAATGTTGACTTGTTAATGAAAATTGAATGGCAGTTATAACTGTTCGATTAGATTTTTACACTGTCATGAAAACATGTGGGTGTATAAGTAAACTTTGTAACAACTATAGCTACAAAATATTTTGAAGTCGTGTTATCTGAGTCATTATTTATTGTCTTTGAAAAGCCATAGATCATGGGAAAGATTCCAGAAAACTGGAAAAGGGCAAATATGTCTGTAAAAAAAAATGACAACTCAGGAAATTACAGGCCAATCAGCTAATTTCTGTACCAGAAATATAATGGAGCAAATATTAAGGAATCCATTTGCAAGTATGCAGAAGAGAAGGTGATAAGTAACCACATGGATTTGTAAAGAACAAATCATGTGAAACCAACCTGATAGTTTTCTTGGATAGGTTAATAAGCCTTTTGGATAAAGGGGAATAGTTGATGTGGTCGTCTTCACAACAACATGAGCAAAAAGCCAAAAGCAATACCTCTACAATTTTGGTCATGGAACTCCAGTATGCAGATGACCATATGGTCACTGCTGTTTTCCCTGTAGCTTTTCGGACCACATTAAGCACCTTCGATGAAGCGTATGAGAATCTCGGCCTCACACTGAACATCAAAAAGACCAAGGTTTTCTATGAACCCTCACCGACAGGACAATCTCATGTACCATCTATTGAAGTCAACAGGGAACTGCTGGAAAATGTAGAGCATTTCCCATATCCTGGAAGTCATCTCTCCACCAAAGTTGACATTGATGCGGAAATCCAGCATCACCTGAGCTGCGCAAACTCTGCTTTTGATCATCTTAGATGAAGGGTGTTTAAGACCCGGGACATCAGTGCTAAGACACAGCTTCCAGCACTGCCGTATGCATGTGAAACCTGGACAACATATAAACACCAGCTGAAGGCACTTGAAAAATACTGTCCACGCTGCCTCAGGAGAATCCTAAATATCCCTTGGGAGGACAGGCGCATGAAACGCTAGCGTCCTGGGAACATCAAACATGACCAGCATTGAAGCGATCATCATCTACCAATAACTTTGCTGGACAGGTCACGTGATCCAGATGCCTGATCAGCGCCTCCCAAAATGGATTGTTTTCTGAGCTGAAGGAAGAACGGAAGAGCATTGGGTGACATTGGGAGAAATGCTACGCATTGTCAAGTGCCCACTTCAAGCAGGGCTTGAAACTGCCAATGTGTCTAAGCAGATCAAGCAACAAGTAGTTGCTTATTGTCATGTAGTCATGATGTTGTTGAGCTCAGAGTTAGAAATCTTAGCACACAGATTTTCTTGGTGAATAATACAATGAAAATTTATCATCGGGTGGCCAATGTGATTCTTCATTATGCTTACAAATCGTTTGTTTTCCAAGCATAACAGGGGCCCTGCCAGTTGTCACAGAAAATGTTTTTGATGTAAATTCCTCTTCCCTCAAAATGATAAACATCTTCGTTCTATCTTCTCCTGTTGTTGTGCCATTCGTGGGTTTTAGGCAGGCACAGTATCTTGTAAGAACTGCTAATCATGGTACAAATGACTAGGGAGGAGTATAAATATATTACTTGAGACTGCAGGGGAGTTATCAGGTGAAAGCACAATTGGAATTGCAGCTAGCAATGGATGTGAAAGGATAATGAGAGGTTTCTACAGGCATGTTAGCAATAATAGGGTGATCAGAGAGAGTATGGGGCCCTTACTGGATGAGGGAGGTAACCTAGT